TGTGTCCCTTCTATCAGAGACCCCGCCGCTGATCAAGCTGCGCAGTGGGCATCCTCGCGGGCATGTTCCACAAGCTGAGCACCGTGGCGTTCATCGTCTGCTTCTCGCTGCTCCAGTTCTTCTTCAACTTTGGCGCGAACGCGACGACGTACATCTACCCCGCCGAGGTCTTCCCGACCAAGTTCAAGGCGACCGCGCACGGCATGTCCGCCGCGTGCGGCAAGGCGGGCGCCATCATCTCGGCGCTCGCGTTCAACCAGCTCACGAACAGCATCGGCACGCCGAACGTCCTCTGGAGTGTGTACTACCTCTCCCTGACTCTCGGGTTTCGGCCTGTACTGACCCGTGTCACACAGTCTTCTTCGGGTGCTGCATCGCCGGCGCCGTCTGCACGCAGCTCCTGCCCGAGAGCAAGGGCCGCGACCCCGATCTCTTGTACGCAGAGGAGCTCGAGGAGAGTCGCCGCCTCCATGGAAACGTCCAGCACTAAACTCTGTCCCTTCTCTCCCTTCCCACCTCACCCACCACGCATGTCAAGCATCTCTTCCCGCACTCACATGCACACCCTCCACTGACTGGGCTCTCGCTAAGACGTACAGAGTAATGTTCTCCGACAAAAGACGATCGTCACGATACAGTAGAGCGCGCAACCCGCACACCGGCTTTTCGTACATCGTAATATCTAGCTTATTCATGCTACTGTTTCTTCCTCTCTGTACATCGAGGGTGGGTCTGTAATGTACTGTAATCTCGAGTAGGTATCTTTATGGAGCTATTACGTTGGATCCATTGAAGACTCGCCTCCGTGTGCATCGAGGTCTGCGCCCTTCGGGGCGCCGAGGATGGTGTGGCGTTCCGACGTGTTCGCTTTTTGGGCGGATCAATATGGTGTTGTGGTAGAGGCGCGGCATTTGAGCTTTTCGAGATGATCAAAATCCTCATCCAAAGGTCAGGATCAAGCCCAGAAAACATGCGAGCACGGGATGTTCGGCGACGCAGCCCAGTTCCGAGGCTCTAGCGTGTCTGGCTGACTGCCGCTCAAAGGAGTTCTGCAGTCCGCGTGAACTCGTTACTGCACATAATGCGTAGCTACTGAACGCCACGCTTTCAGATACCAATGGGTTGCGCGAGTGAGAGGATGCGGGGCCGCGCAGCCCTCCAGATTGAGCATCTATCGGTGAACTGATGGACGTACACGCGTATAGCCTGTACGAATGTAGTACTAAACTAAGGTGGAAGTTGCGTATGGTTTGTGCCAACCCGCAAGCACTAGCATCGGCAGGGAAGAAACTCTCACATGAACCCTTTACGAGACTGTCCTACTCCTACCGGTGAACGGAGGACATCACTTGACTGTCATGAGAAGTGGACAAGACTTTACATGCGGTGCGATATTGATATCTACAATGCTGAATGCTATATGGCAAGACGACAAGCACACCAAACGAGGCAACACCGCAGCACATACGACACAGGCGTGTACCCAAACTGCCACATGCCGTATCGCGTCCCGCTCTGCATCAAGGAGTGTACCGCCTCGGACTGCCCAAGAGAACGGTATGGCCTCCGGTTACTCCGGCGCAGTATCCTTGGCAGACCCTTTGAACAGCAACAACTATCACATTGGCACGTCCCACGATTAGTCAGCCAAGCCGTTTTCGGATTTGAGCAAGTGTCGACTCACCAATGCGCCACATATCTCCGGCGCCACTGGCACTAGGGAGCACTCGTGAGGGCGCCACCATGTCTCGGTGGGCGTTCGAACGTGCAAGGGGCAGACACAGCGCAGAAGACAAGTGCACGGTGCGGCGGTGCACCGCCAGCCACTGAAAAGTGACGTTTTGTGCCGCCGTTCTCCAAAGCTTCCTCCGACTCTGAAGTGCTTAATGGCCTGCTCTACGCCACGGTGATCGTTCCACACCTGGGACCGAGTGATAGTGACATATCGCAGGTAGACAATGGCGAACGTCGCAGGATGACTACACTGGAGATGTTGCTTCTAGAAAGAAGTGGCCCCGAGGTGCTATAGCCAGGCGGAGAAGACGAGCGGAAGCAGAAGGTATGTGGAAGTGGGCTCGTTAG